GTTCTCTTTAGCAAAATGTCATTCTCATCATTCAGCCCATTCCATAGATGAGCAACAAGGACTGAATCAAAATCTCATAAAAGGAAGAAGAGCTAGATTCTAAAGATACTTCTCATGTACCAAATTTTAGCAGAAAAAAAGCAGGAGTTCATATACTTTCCAAAACCAGATGAATGGTTCAATGATTTCCAGTGAAAATGAAGGATTTAGGTCATCCTTTTAGACATTTTTTTAGGGCCCTGGGTGGCACAAACAGTTCACATGGGACTATTAACCCAACAGTTTGTGTCAAACCCATCCAGTGGTGCTACAGGAGAAAGGCCTATTGATCTGCTTCTGTAAAGACTGTTGTTGTCAAGTACCATCATGTTGGTTCTGACTCACAGCCACCCTGTGCACAACAGATTGAAACATTGCCTCATCCCGCACCATCTTCACAATCATCGCTATGTTTGTATGTCTGTAAAGATTACAGCAAAGAAAACTCTATAGAGTAGTTCTGCCTTGTAACACACAGGGTCACCAGGCGTCAGAGGCGACTCAGTGGCAGTGGGTCTGGTTCTTTGGTTTGGTTTATACATTTTAAATCCCATGCCACTCCTTCATTATGGAGCTGAGACGTGCTCTAAGATAGGTAGCAGTTAGAATTCTGTTCCATGAATCACAGTTAATAAATAATCAATTTATTTTAATTGCTATAAGAAAATGAAAATCGATTTCATTTTGCTTTTTCATTTTAATAAAAGTAAATGGCTGATTTTCCCATGCATGAGCACATGATATACATAGACTCAGTTTGGGGTGCTTGATGAAGGGCTAAGGTGGCTTCTTATCTTCAGTGTCATTTCACTGAACAAGAGTAGCCTTGACTATTTCTCTCCTTGAAAGAAGCATCATGTGGGAATATAAGCATGAGTGCTAAGATGCACATTGCCACTATGAACCAAGAACCACTGTAGACAATTTGTGTTAACTCCCTGAACTATCACAACAACCCTCTGAGATAATTATAATTGTCATCTGACAGCGAATGAAGCTGAGATCAAGTGAATTGTCCAAAGTCACACTGCCACAAATAGCAGAGTCAGGACTCAAACCCAGGCAGGCTAGCTCCAAAGTTTACACTCTTTATTGCTAGATTAATCCACTTTCCCCACCAAACTAAAATAGAACTAAGAGAACAGAACCTTCCATCTCTAGTAACAATAACTTCCTTATCTGCCTTCTGAGAAGGAGTTAACTTTATGGTCAGTTCCCAAGATCGTTTCAAATATAATATGGAACTTACCTTTAAACTTTGAAAAAGAGTTTAAAATTGATAAGACTTGGATTTCTACAGTAGTGTTTCTCAATAAGACTAGTTTTTGCAGTATCTGGTCGTTTGCTTCAAATGTGTACCGAGTTTCACACCACATCTGCTGAGACAGGAGCCCCGGGAGCAGGTCTCATCATCTGTGTTTTTAGGAAGTGATTTCTATGCATACTGAAGATGGAAAATTATTGTGGAGTTGCATCGGGAAGTTTCAGGAGCTTTGCACATCATCAGTTCAACTACAGGTGATTGTAGAAAGGTTTCAAAGCCTCTCTACATTCAATAGCTACTTCAGGGAGAATTGTAATGTGCAAAAAGTGTTCCAAAATTGCTGTGTAAGCCACCTGGTTAAGCAAGCTTAAATGTGTTCCCAATGTACGTCAGGAAAGAGGACACTTTATATAACCAGAAAGCAGGCAGTTCAAACCCACCACCCACTCCTTGGAAGGAAGGTCAGGCAATCTACTTCCATAGTGATACTGCCTCAGAAACCCAAGGAGGGATCCCTATGAGTCGGGTCCGACTCGACAGCACATAACAACAACAACAACATGAAAATATAGACATCACAGTTACCACACTGGACCCAAAGTGAGCCTTTCAAATGGGATTCTGATAATTTCTTTTTTTTTTTTTGCTTCCCACTCCTGCAAAATATCTTCTGTGGACTACAAGGTCTTCCCTGAGCTGGCCTGGCCCACCTCTCCAACATTTTCCTTGAACCATTCTTACCCACTGCTCTAGTGACGCAAAACTCCTTTCAGGTCTAATGTATGAAGTGCCACAGTGTCTTTGCCTAGGGTCCTGGGCCATATTATGTGCCCACTGCCCTAGGGACACAGTGGTTAAACACTTGGCTGCTAACTGAAAGGTTTGAACTCACTAGCCGCTAGAGAAACATGTGACAATCTGCTTCTATAAAAATTACAGCCTTGGAAACCTATGAGGCAGTTCTATTCTGTCCTATAGGGTCACTGTGAGTCAGAATTGACTCACTGGCAACGGGTTTTAGCCACCCCAACACTTAGATCCCACTCTTCCTTCAGAGCTCAGTGTAAATGTCACATTCTTAGGGAAGTATCCCCTGACATGTCAGAAGTCAGGGCATCCTGTTATCTACCACTTCTAGCACCATTCCTCCATAGAACTTACCATAGTTTTTCAGTCTGTTTTGACTGTGTGTGACTTTATTCATATCTGTCAAAATCAAAAACCGTAACGATCTTGTGCACTCTGGCATCTAGCAGAGTGCCTGCTACACAACAGACATGCAACTAATCGTTGTGGAGTACCATGAATTAAGAAAATTTAAAAGAGCTCTGGTGGGGTAGTGCTTAAGGCATTTGGGTGCTGACCAAAAGGTCAGTGGTTCAAACTCACTTGTTGCTCTGTGGAAGAAAGATGAGGCATTCTGCTTCCGTAAAGATTTATAGCCTTGGAAACCCAGTGGGGTCACTATGAGTCAGAATAGGCTCAATGGCAGTGAGTTTGGTTCTTGGTTTGATAAGTGCTGGAGAGAAAATCTTGGTTGTCAGTTTAAAGTTTAACATCCCTTCTGTAGACAAAGATTCTGCATTTTTATTTCTATCCTTCTCTTTAAATAGCAGGAGTCCCTGAGTGATGCAAATAGTTAAGCACACAGCTACTAATGAAAAGGTGAGTTCTTTCTTGGCATCTCAGAAGAAAGGCCTGGACATCTGCTTCCAAAGTTCACAGCCATAAAAACTCTATGAAGCATATAGTTCCACTTACAACACGTGGGGTTTGCATGAGTAGGAATGAACTTGATGGAAACTGGTTAATAATTCTTTAAATAACAGTGTAGATGGTTAGGCTCGAAATCTAAACTCTCAAAATTCTTTATTTGTTCTCAAAAATAAATAAATAAATACCAAAGCCACTGCCATCAAGTCAATTCCAACTTATAGCAGCCCTATAGTGCAGAATGGAACTGCCCCGGGTGGTTTCCAGGCTGGAAATCTTTACAGAGGCAGACTACCTCCTCTTTCTCCCACTGAGTGGCTGGTAGGTTCAAACCACCCACCTTTTGGTTAGCAGCTGAATGCCTTAAGCACTGTGCCACCTGAGCTCCTCTTTATCTATTCTAGATCTCTTTAATGAAAATGTCAATAGCTCTAATCCTGATGCCATTCTTTAAATTGCTGGCTCCATGGTTATACAGTCATTAGTTGTTAAAAGGAAAGTTAATGAAAGAGTGGAAATTTTGAAAAACTACAAAGTAACTAATTATTTCCTCTTTTACTTCAAAGGCTGAAATGGTTTCTTGTTCTTGAATGGGGTATGGAGCACAGTGAGCCTAATTGGTGATTAGATGGATTTTATTTTATCATTGTTTTCAAGTGTGTCTTTGGTCAGTGATATGAACTAACAAGCTTATCTTACCCAAAGGTGTTCTGTATAAGAGAAGGCATCTCATCCCTTACAGTAAATTGATCACAATGACACTTTGCTTAAGCTAATTTCACACTCAGTGGATTGACTGTGGCTGGATTCTAAATGTTCCTAAATTATGAGTATGTTACAGGCTGAAATGGTTCCACTTCTAAGACCTAAATAGCATTTAGCAAACTGCGGACATTAAAAATGTTATAGAACACTGTCTTCTGGGTATTTTAAGTAAAAATATTACATCCTATATGATTCATCTATACCAAAATCTAATTATTATGAGTAGATATTATCCCACTGTTGTTTTTTAAATACCTCCCTTAGGAAGCTAAGTGCCAGTGAGCTCCCAAACGCTCTCTTGTGCAAACATAGGTTTCATTTTACATATTACTATGGAAAGGTATTAGAGTGATATAGGTGGGCCAGTGAGCTTCACACGGTCTCTGGGTGGCACAGATGGTTTGTTCTTAACTACTAACTTAACTACTAACCTAAAGGTTAACCTAAGGTTAACCTAAAGGTTAGCCATTTGAACACCGCAGAAGAAAGGTCTGGCTATCTGCTTCCATAAAAATTACAGCCAAGAAAACCCTACAGAGCAATTCTATGCAACACATGGAATTGTCATGAGTTGGAAGAGACTCAATGCAGCAAGTTTTAGTGTGCTTGACAGAAAAGCAGTCTGAATCCCAATGGATTCTGCCTCCTACAATTTAGCATTGTCATCTCCCAAAATCAAAACTCTAAAATTCCTGTCATTAAAAAAAAAAAAAAAAACTGGAGAATGGTGGATAATGATAATATTAGCTAAGAATTTTGCTTCCTGTCTATCATGTTCTTAACACATTGGTACATATAAGCTCACTCTGTGCTCACAATAAGGCAATGAACTAGGTAGTATTAGAATGCCCATTTTACAAATGAGAAAACTGAGACAAGGAATACATCACAGTCACACAGTAGTTACACTCGTGTGGAACTAGGATTTTGATTCAGGCAGTCTGCCCACGTAACCCAGGCTACCTCCCATACATACTTTATTTAAGAACATTGAGTCAGGAAGCTTGGTCCTGATTTAGTTCTCCTCATTTTTTCTTTAGGGGATGGGGCTGTATTTTTTGTTTTGTTGTAAAAGAGAAGCTGCAAGTGAGCCTTCTTTCTTTCTGACCATCTTTTTCCAAAGCCATTTGACTTTGTCTCAGGCCAGAAAAGACACTGATTCTGAAGACAGCACTAACGAGCTTCCCCTTTGTGTCCCTCCCTTCTCTTCATTCCACAGTTAATAGCCAAGATACCAACCATCACGGCAGTTTGCAACTTGCACGGGGAGAAACTGCAGGTATTTAAGCAATCTCATCCAGACATAGTGAATACACTGTTTCCTCCATTATACAAGGAGCTCTTTAATCCTGACTGTGCCACCGTCTGCAAATGAAGGGGACGAGAGAACTGTCTCACAGTCATGGATGCATCACCATTAAGACAAAAGCAATGTGTTCATGGAGACTTAAGAAAAATGTCACTACTGCAACATTAGGAATGTCCTGCACTTAATAGAATTATTTTTCACCGCTACAGTTTGAAGAATGTAAATATGCACCTAAGTGGGGCTCTTATTTGTTTGTTTGTTTTTGAAATGACCATAAATATACAAATATAGGACACTGGGTGTTATCTTTTTTTTTTTTTTAATTTTATTTGGGTATGTTTTGGGAGACAACTGTTTATAGAATTTTATTGTAGATATATACGAGAACAGAGCAGTACTTTACATGATTACTTTTCCTGTTGATTGTTCAAATATAATTTAAGAAAATTCCACTTAATAGGCTTATCTAGTTCTATGTTTTTAGATAGTTGATGCATGTGTAAATTTGTAGCTGTCTTGGAGAGTACTGTGCATGTATGTAATAAGTATATAATATGTGAGAATATTATATATGACTATTACATATACATGCACAGGTACTGTGGCTTAAAATACCATACCAACTAGCAAAGGAGGTTCAGTCAGTCTCTCTTCTATTATTTTCTTTCTGTGTTATATGTTACCTTTATGTTAGACAATCAGGATTTTGTTTTCCCAGCCAGAGTTTTCATCTATAGTCAACGGCAGGACGGTACTCATTCAGAAATAATTCTACAAAGCAGTTGAATGCATGGCCTCTGTATAAAAATTGTTTCTATTGATGACATCAAAGCCTTGTCAATGTAGTACATATTGGTGAAAAAATAATAATAATAAGTATTTGGAGCCATTTTCCTGTTTTAATAATTAGGCCACACATTATATTGTGAGAGTCCATGACTTTTTTGACCAAACAATAGTCATTTCCTATTTCCCACCAGGACATATAAAACATCTTTTTTTACCCTCCCTTGGCTTTCCAGTTGTGAAAGAAACTTGATTTTTGGTGCTTATTATGTCTTCAACAGAGAAATACAATCTGTAGGTTATGACCACCAGCAATTTTTTCTACTAATATTAGAGAAAATCAGAACCCAGGGACCCACTATCATCTCATGTAAACATTTTCTCTATAAGCAAATTTTAATGACAAGAAGTAGAAAAAGAACATACAAGGGAAAAAAAATAATTCTCTATATTTACTGTTTTTGATAAGTTTGTTAGAAAACGTAGCAATATACGGGGAGGAAAGACTTTTCCTGTCCTTCTAGTCTGGGGCCTCTGAATTTTTTTCAACTCCAAATCCTGTATTATAAAAATATACCAAAATCTTGACAGAGGAGCAAAAAGATTTGAAAGATCTTGTGGAACAAAAACACCCCAGAGCCAATACTCCTTCCCATGCAGTTGATATTGCATCATCCATCCAGCCTGGGATTAATTTCTGAGCAAATCTTAAAAGTACAGAATGGAAGTGGAGAGAGCAGTATCAGAGAATTTAGACTTACTTATAAAGTTCTTACTTCCCTGCCTGCTCTCCAATCATTTACCTTCAGAAAAGCATAAATTTCAAGGAATTTGTTCTACCCGTTCCTGGAGGCCTTTTGTCTTTTGGTTGTATCCGATCCAGAATAAAAGAAGTAGGTAGAGGAAGCCTTTGCCTACAAGGCAATAAAACTCATGATCTCCTACAAGTATAGCCCAGCCACCAACTTATAAAGAAACTATCCTTTCTCCTTGTCAAACACACACACACACACAAGCGCACGCACACACACAAATACACACACACACCTGCTCTGTAAAGTTTCCATCAGTGGAAACATTAATACATATTTTTTTAAATCTCTTAAGCTTTCCTGAAGTTACATAGTTGAGAGCCATCTTCAAGATGACTCAAAACTCCTCATAGATGATCAAACCTGTATTGTTAGTCTTTTCCTTTCTGAAAACAGAGCTTTTTCCTCCTTCATGATTGATGAATTCCAAGCCAATGGGGAAAAACAAAAAGGCTTTAAAATAATGAATCTCTTTCTCAACTACTGTTATATTCAATTAATTTAACTACATTGAACCAAATTACCTTCAGTGTCTAAAAAGACAGCTGTAGACTGCTTATTATGCTGCTACAGGGACTCAATTCTTTTTGGTGTAAATGTCACTCCTGCTAGCTCTTTGTATAAAGAATTAATTCCAAGAGTCATATTTCCTTCTAATGGAAAGATTACTTTACTGATTGCTAGGAAAACAGGGTAATGGAACGCACTCAATTAAACCAAGCCATTTCCAAATGCAATGTATGTTTTATGATTGGCTTGTGATAGGCAATGCTTATAATGTGTCTACTTGGTGTTTCCCTTTGAGCTTTGAACTTATGTCAAACTTTGTTTTCGTTGTTCTCTTGGCCTAGTGTTTTCCACTGTCAGCCTGTGATCCCTGCTCAGCTGCAAAGGGAATCATTTGTTTCCTCCAGTTTAGAGGATTTAAATTGGCTCTGTTTATGAAGTGGCTGAGAATTTTTTTTTACTCCCTCGTTCCATGGGTGATATAGGAAAAAGATTGTTCCCCCACATTTTTCTCGGGGGCTACTGGCTTTGAATCTGTGTCCTTTCCACTAGGGCAAGCATTTCGTGGGGATGACACGAATCCTTTGAAGCTAAAAGAGAGGAAACAGAGCTAGTGATTGAACCAGAACAAAACAATGGAAACCAGTACATGGTCAGCCTACTTCAGTTGAGAGAAGAGATTTCCATTTTGGGGCACAGTTGCTAAATCTGTCCCTTCAAAGAGAATTAAGTCATGTTTGCAGTGGTAACAAAGACTTAAAAAGCTGCCCTGTGAACATCGCCTGTGACTACATCTCGAGGTATTTTGAAACTTGATAAGAGCAACTTTCTTTACCACATGCAATCCCAGCACTTTGTCCCTTCACCATGAAGAATGACAAATGTTCCCAATATACTTGTGGTAAAGTGTGCACTGGAAGAACGAATCCATGTTCTGTACTTTTCACTTCATGCTTCGTAAATGACAATCACTGCTTGATGCAGATGTTGCACTGTATCCACTCAGGGATGTTTCATTAAAAATAATAATAATAATAATAATACATCAAGAAGGAGAAGTGGAAAACAAGACAGGAAATGGCAACAAAATGTAAACGGCAAAATTAATATGCCAACTAGAGAACCTCTCCAACAGGGCTTTCAAAGCAACAAGCAGTAACTTCATGTCTGTACTTTGAATTTCCTTTTGCTGTTTGGACTTGCTGAAAAGTTGCACACACACAGTTTGCTCAGCAAGGACAACTCAGTCACATTTTCTAACATCTGCTAAGGGTCAAAATAATCCAGTTATTCTATTTATAAGAATATTTATCTACCAGCAGACCCAAGCGTGATATGCCGAGCAAAGAAAATACAAAAAGTGGGCATTAGATGAAACTGGCAAGGGAGGTGAAGCTGTGTGAATTCAAACTCCACAGTATAGGTATCTGTAAAAAGAAAGGCACACTTTGGAGGAAAGAATAAGGGATTCCAAATCTGGTTGACATTCTATTCATACCTCTGCTGCCCATGACTCAGACCATCTTTGTCCCCCTTCTGTGTGACTCTTTAATCCCCAAAAGGTGAAAGCTGAGGTCAGAGGTGTGCTTCTTAAACATACCCTTTTTGTTGATATTGTTGTTCTAATCCTATCTTAAAGGCTCTGGACTAAAGGATCACTGGAGTAGACAAAAACATAGTGGTCCGTTTGGTAATTAGATTTCTTTGGCCAAATCGAAGAGATCCTCAATCACAGTGAATCCTGGTTATTAACAAGAAGTGTTTGGGAGACATCAGTATATGTCCTATCATAGCTGCCTTGTTCAACACAAAACTACACAAAAGCCAAGCTAATCTATTTGTAGAAAACCACACAGATGATCGTCAACTCACTCTCATCTCTATAATCTCATAGCTACCAGGCTTGAATACAAAGACAGAAGACAAGCCCTACTATGTTCCAAGGACAATTTAAAACTTACCAGCTTTTTTCACAAACTTCAGACTGATGTAAATTATGTCAGTGTAGCCCTGTTATTTTTTTCCTTTTATTGTGTAAACAAGGAAAATTCTAATGCTACTGGAAATTGGAAGAAATGTTCTTTCCCTGGACTCTTTTTTTCTCTATAAACTTCTGTTTGCAATGAAGTTACTACTATTGACAGTAAATTCAGGCAAGGATGTCTGTGCCCTGACAGAACCCCATGTTGTAGAATAGCAATATCTTTGAAGTGTGCATCTGTAGTGAAACTTTGCACAGAGTCCCCTGTATAAAGAAGAGGGAAATGCCTGCCATCTGCTTTAGATGGAGTGTGACTTTATGTTTTGTTTCCACTTGCTAGAACAAGGAGTAACTTGGGTAAAATTCTGAAGTGGGAAACCATGTGGATCTTTTAGAAAAGAACTGAAACCCTTTTCTTTTTGGATGTCAAAGCCAGAGGCACATGTCCTTTAAAAGCAGGGTTAAAAATTCAAAAGCAGAGTAGGGTCAGGTAGTCAATGCAAATGGGTGAAGCATCCCAGGGGGCAAACTGGAGAGGCAATGCCCCATCTGAAAGGAACATCTACTTAGCTATGGCTGAGTGTTTCTAGAGTTTCTGAATTGTATAGCATCTCTGAGTGTAAACACTGGCGGTTGATTGAGAGGTCAGTGCAGATCAAACAAACACACCACTGCACAGAAGAAGGCCCACAAGCCCAGTTTTTAAACTCTGATATAAAGGAAAATCGTAGCTAGGGGCCTCTTTAACTGGAGCATGTCTGGCCAGATACAACCCTGAGTGAAATTTTGGAATTAGAAAATGAGGGACCCCTTACAATACTCAGTTTGGTTTCCATATTATCACTGCTAGAGGATAAGGAGTCCTGCTTGCACAGTGGTTAAGTGCTAATCAAAAGGTTGGCAGTTCAAATCTGTCCAGAGGCTCTACAGGAGAAAAGATCTGCCCCATAACGATTACAGCCTAGAAAAGCCTACCACATGGGGTCAACTATGAGTGGAAAACTGATGACAACCGATCAAGCAGAGGATAGACAGAGTACAGGTCAGTTGAAAAAGTAGTAAATGGCCTAAAATAGATAACAATTGCATTTAATAAAGGCTAAGAAAAGACATTCCTATTTATCTTGTTCATACTCCCAGCTTCATAAAGCTACGTGGCTAGATTTCCTACTAAGCTTTTCTGAAAGTCAAATGCTTGACTTACGTGCTTTTCAGTCCACATGTTTTTCTTTAAATGTGTGGCTTCAGTCTCTGAAACAAGTTTTTCTCTTGCCTTCATTGTATCTGAAGAAACTATTCTGGAGCCACAAGATCATGTAAGCCCTCCATTATCCTAAAATGCACACTATGGATTCCTATGCAGCAGATGGGGATTGTCAGTTTGTGCACTTTTTTTTTTTTTCTAAGCTGCTGACATTCCTCCGAAGTGAATTGGCCATAGTTATCTTTGCCTCCCACATGAGGCAAAAGCACTATCTTCAGTGGATCAGAGAAAGCAACCCACTGATTGTTCTCATGGCCAAAACTAAGCACGGAGTTATCAGAATTGAATACACTCAGTTCTGGGTTTATCATGGGTGGCATGATCCATATATTAAACTATATTTTTCTGGCTACGCCTACCTAGTGAACAGCATATGTACACCTGTCACAACCATACACAGACACACATTTGGTATCTGAAAAGCTCCAAATCTCAACTCCAAGCACAGTACCGTCCGCCTCATCTGATTAACAGACACACACAGACAACTGAGTATGTATTGTAGAAATGTAGAGGAAAAATAAAAATATTTTTTCAAATGTAATTACTTTTAATATATGCTTGTGGAAGGTATAATATGATGTATGCTGTCTCTGTAATTTTTGCTGTAAATAACTGGAGACAGCAGATACACTGATTTTTCTATGTCTCTGTTTAAGCATAAGACTTTGTAACAATTTTTTTAGAGGGGGAAAAACAACAAAGAGCAAATATGTACTTGCTTCCTTTCTGAGTGTTATGTACTTCTCAGTTTTTTAATGGAAACTGGTTGTAACAGTTTAAGCATCTTGACGGGTCATTGGTGTTAAGTGTATGCTTCTGTTTGTAATACAGCTGAGAAAGGGACAGGGCTGTTAATGAAATCTGCTCCAAAGAATTGGTATTGAAGATTGTCCTAAGACCTGCAAACTCTATGTAAACTAGACAATTTGAAAAAGA